TGTAGCCAATCCTAATGAGTTTCTGCGGTTGGGTGTGGCCTATTATGCTAATGAGTTCCTGCTGGGCGTGGCCAACTTGGGAGCCAGCCGGAACTCCGTTCCTGTGCGTTCCTGCCCAAAAATAGCCCTGCCCCCTCCTCAGCATTACAAGAATCAGAAATCAGCAGTAGTTAAAATACCATCTAATGGCACCGTTAAGAAGTTGAGATAACCAGAGATAAGACATTAAGACGGAAGCGTCGGGTCTAATTAAAGCTAGACAAAAGGCCAATGAGAGGCATTAAGAAACCAACAGGGGGTAATCGGATGAATTTAAAAAAGGGAAAGGAAGGTGCCTTCAGCCTCCTCCACAAGAAGCTGGGCAGTGTCCTCCCCACACCTCCTTTAATCCCTCAAATGTGATTCAGTATTGCCTCTGAGCTCTCCAATAAAGGCTTGTGTCTACAGGGACTTACCTCTCCCCTACCACTTTTTTTGTATCCTTTCAAGGAACATGTCTTGGGAGGCTACAAGGAGGTTTCTAGGGAGGGAGCCAGTATGATCCACTGGCTAGAGAGCAAGGCTTAACTCTGGGAAACTCAGATGCAAATCACACCCCTGCCTAGGGCAAGTCACTAGATTGACGGTGCAGTCCTAAACCGTTACACCCTTCTAAGCTCATTGACTTGGGTAGATCGCTGTCTTGTGTAAGTTCATAATTCAGCCGTAAAACCTGTATTCAAATCCCCAGTCCTCCAGGAAGTTCACTTCAGAGCCATTCATTCTCAGCCTCTGTTCCCCTTCTTGTGAGATGAGCATAACGGCAACATCCAACACAGGGCTGTTGTGAGGTCTGACAAGAGAAAAGCTGAGAAGCTCCGTGGCACAGGAAAGAGAGTGATACCTTATAAATAGTGGGCCTCAGTTGCTGACCCATGGCAGGGCTCCATTCTAGCTGGCTTCCCCCAAGCACGGGCCATTTATTTATTTACAACATCTATATCCCACCTTTTCCTGCCCTTACAAGGCAGCTAACAATTTAAAACCGACAAGATAAAATTACATTATAAAGCCATTAAAATCAACTTCCCTCTTAACATACACTGTTAAAACAACTTTTAAAAGAGTTCTAAAACAGAGTTAAAATACATACAAAACATAAGGTCATCGGAAGGTGGAATCGCCAAATGAAACCAAAACGTCTTTATCTGATGGCAGAAGACAGCAACAAGAAGACAGCAACAGGAGACAGTCGAATCTCCCTGGGGATAGAGTTCTATTGTTTTGGGGCCATGCCTGAAAAGGCCCTCTCCTGGCTTACCACCTGCCTGATCTCAGAAGGTGGGGGCACCCGAAATCACTTGATAGGGATACAGCTGAAGTCCGTATCCTTTTGACCGTGCCTCCCTGTGAGATTAGCCCTGCTTCCTCCTTGCAGAACCTCAAAATGGTTCTAAAAAACCCGGAATTTTCACTACATTGGCCCCTCAACATTGAAGAGCCACTCATAGTTTATAAAACCAGAGCTGGCTTGCCTCTGAGTTAAGACATCTACCGCTCTGCTGATAATCAAGAGAGTGCAGAGAGAAGAGGAGGTAAAGAAGTTTGAAGCTCTCCTGGATCAGAACACTGAACTATCCTGTTCTTCACGATGGCCAGTCAGAGAAGTGCTCAGCTCCCACCTAAATACCGAGTGGACCCAAATGCAAGCAAATGATTGGGTGGAAGACTGCAGTGGGGATGGAGGCTCCCAAAGAGTTGGTGTTTTTCTTCTTAAAATGGCAGGCAGTGCGGGCCCAATTCAAATCAGGGCCATGGCACAAGCTTCTCCCATGCCATTTTCTTGACCTGAAATGACCTCATGAAGCTATTACTTATCCCAGTAAGTGAAACATATAGGTACAGGGGTCATTTCGTAGAAAAAGAGGTTGAGGAGCTCATTAGCATAACTTATTAGCATAACTTATTTGCATATGCCACACCCAGAAGTGTGTCAGAAGGCAACACCCACCACTCAGGTTCCACTGGACTGTTTTGGAATGCTAACTATTGGGGGGGGGGAACGTGCAGATCTATCCTCACAGAGGAGGGAGAGCTTGTACCTTAAAGGTGCCACTGGACTGTTTTGGATTCCTAGCTATGGGGGGGGGCACGCAGATCTGCCCTCACAGAGGAGGGAGAGCTTGTATCTGAAGGCGGGCCGGGGGGGGGGCTGCAACTTACCTGGCTGCTTCTTGCTCCTCGTGGCCCAACTGAGGGCTGCTGGGAGCAGGGGGTGGGGCTAATTGCATGTGCCCACCCCCTGGGCTCCTTACTGCCGGAGCTCCACTCCTGTGCACTCCCGCAGGAAATGACCCCTGGTTATTTAGATGCTTGGTTACAATGCAGTCCTAAACAGAATTATCCCCTTCTAAGGCCACTGGCTTCAGTGGCCTTAGAAGAGTGTAACTGCCCAAGATTGCTCTTTTAGTTGGCTTGTATATCTTTCTCCTGGTTCCAGTCTCTAGAGGCTCCTTTAGACTCCAATACAGGAGTACTTTTCAACATTCTGGCAGCCAGGACTGCCCTTTTGTGGCCATTATTTTTACAGTACCTTACAGGTTTGTTTTGTGGTACGCCTTTTAAGAAAACACAACTACATGGGAAAGGAGGAGGCAGGGATTTAAAACAAACAAAAAAATCCTGTTCCACCTTCTTTAGCATTCCACATTGGTGGAACCCAAAGATTATGACAAACCCAGTGACGACGTGTGTTTGAAAGGAACTTGTATTGACCCAATAGTATAATTTCCATTACTACAATAGTTACACCATAACCTTAGACACTGATTTAAAAAGAGTATCCAACCAACTCTGTACACATATCGAAATTCTCCTTTGAGACTGAGCAATCACTTCAGTGAAACTGACATGATCTGATTCCTAAATCTGGAATGTCCAATAGTTTCGGTAACGTGGTTGTTAAGAGAATGAATGACCTGGGAGCTGGAAGAGTTTGGTCCAGATCTCATCAGAGAGGTATGTAGCCTTGGACAAGCCATGATCCCTTCGCCTCAATACCACCCCATCCTACAGGCAATGTTCCCTCTAAGGTGTGGAGTCTTGTGAGCAAAAATTCTACTTTGTGAGCTACTGGCATTAAAGTTGTGAGCGAGCAGTTTGGCTAGTGCACAAATTAGTTTGCTCTGGAGCCATCCTTCCTGGGCTAAGACAAAAACATGTGAGCCGGAGGCTAAAGAACTGTGAGCCAGCTCACACTAACTCAGCTTAGAGGGAACACTGCCTACAGGTATATTGCATAAGTTACCAAAATTATGTGTGCCAAACACAGGGCCCTAGCCAGGATTTTTACTTCAGGGGGTATTTAAATAAGTCAGGGGGCCTGTGTCAGGAACGACGAGAGAGTAAAAGCTTTTTTTAAAAAGTGATGAGAGAGAGCGGGTTGGAATAGGGATCAGACCTGCCCTGCGGCGTGCCTCGCCCTCAGCCAGCCAGAGGTACACTGGATAAGTTACCAAAATTATGTGTGTCAAACACAGGGCCCTAGCCAGGATTTTTACTTCAGGGGGTATTTAAATAAGTCAGGGGGCCTGCGTCAGGAGCGACGAGAGAGTAAAAGCTTTTTTAAAAAAGTGATGAGAGAGAGCGGGTTGGAGTAGGGATCAGACCTGCCCTGGGGCGTGCCTCGCCCTCAGCCAGCCACAGGTACACTGCCAGCAGGCAAGGCAGGGCAATGACTCAACTTGGCACAGCTATGGCACACAGGGAAAACAAAATAAAATAAACCAGCTGGATGGAAAGTCAGGAGGACTGGGCGGTAAGTCGGGGGTGCCCGGCCCCAAGATGCCCCACTGTACCTGGTGAAATATTTCCAACTCGTTGCAAACACTGAGGCCGGTCTAAACTTGGATGGTACAGGGTACTGGTTGTATACTGTGTCACTTGCTGGTAGTGCATGCAGGGGAAAAAAAATCAGCACGGCAGCTGGTTCCTGCTAAGTATCAGCTGCCACTCCGCCGTCCCCTGGATTAACTCTTCTTGCGTCTGGATTTGCTCTGAATGCACATGTATGAAGTACCACTTTTTGGGGGTTTGATCACGTGAATCATTAAACGTATCAAGCTGAGTTAGTCAAATAGATTTTAATGACCGTGGTTCATAAACAAGACCTACAGGAGCCAGTGAGACATTGAGTCCTCTTTTTCAGAAGTGCTCTGCTGTTTCCCCCATTGGTATACCTCAAACGTCCCCAATCCTGTTGCTCTTGTAGACACATTTGAAATTCCAAGAGCAGGAAGTAGGCACCACAGCAAAAATAGTTGCCAGAGAGCGGGTGTCCAATCCTAAAATGTGAGCTTTCCCACACAGCATTAGGAGGTTCGAATCCAAGCACGAAGGCAACTGTTGCTGAACGGTTTGCTCTCTGAAGACACAAAGATGGTGTTTGCTGGACTTTTCTGAAGCACCACCTGCTCTATAAGATGGAGGAAGGCCAGAATGGGCACTTTGCTTTGTTGAGGGGATGCTTTGGGGGAGGAGCCAAGCGGGCATCAAGAAACCCATCGAAGGATGCCCTGGTTGGGGATCATTGATTATGAACACAGTTGTCTTGGGTACTGGGTGCTGGATCTCGGGGACTGGGATTGATGCCATCTTTTCTCCATTAAAGCTTTACTGTCAGCTCACTTACCTATGAAGCTTAGAGGGTGATCTTAGTGCAGTCTTTCAGTCTAACTGACCAGGCAGAATTCTTGTGAGGATGAACTGGGGGAAGAATTCTGTGAGCCCTGTGGAAGAAGGGCCACATAAAAATGGAAAAGCTGGACATTTCTAGAGTCTTCTCTCCCCACTGAATGGTTCTCCTTTCCTTTGTGGGACATCTGCAGATTCCCAGCACAAGAGCTGTTGACGTGAATATGGCCTCCTGCTGAGAGTGGGTGCAGAGGGACTTGTCGTCTTGTAGATGCTCATTTTTTCACCCGTGTAGGAGTCCCCTTCCCTTGTGCCCTGCTCCCGGCCTCTCAGTTATTGTGGTCTGTGGGAGACCCAGAGGCGGCTTTCACCAGGCAGATGGTGTCAGAGTCCACCCCATGTACAGCTCCTTCCTGGACATTTGTGTCTAGAGTGCCATTTACCATGTCAAACCGAAATGTGGTGTCTTTTTTAAAGGCATCTGTAAGGAAAAGAGAGAGTTTTGAGCGAATCCTTCCTGGACATTTGTGTCTAGAGTGCTATTTACCATGTCAAACCGAAACGTGGTGTCTTTTTTAAAGGCATCTGCAAGGAAAAGAGAGAGTTTTGAGCGTAAGACTCCAGCCCAAGAATAAACTCAGCTTCATGGGCACCCTTCGTATAGGCCCTTGTTTCTCCTGTTCCTTTACACCCCATAGCAATTTCCTTTAAGGATTATCCACACAAACATATATCTGACAGAACCCGCTCTGAACCTGCTATGTGGGGGAGGGTGGGATATAAATCCAGTAAAATTAAAATAAATACATGTAATGAATGCTACAAACAGTAGGATTTAATTTTTTTAAAATTGTGTTTAATAGCCATGTGTTGGGGAAAGGACTAATTTATGGTTTTATATCTGCTACACACACTACACATGGACTGTGCACACATCTGTATACTATGAGCCAAAGAAAGCTGTTTGCATCACCTACTGTGAGAGAGAGATTTCACATAGGGAACGCTTGCCTGCATTTTATGTTAATATAGCTTGCACACATTCAGCGCACGGCATTGTGGGAAGAAGGCGCACATGTCAGCCATTGTGAGCAGAACAACAACTAAGAAGAAGAGATTCCACCATTGCTGAGGAGACAAGATGTCACGCAGAACACGGACCTGATCTGCATTTGAATTGCCATTTCCTGTTGAAGGTGCCTTGAGTACGTGGTATCGATCAGCACAACAAAGAGATGTCCTGAAGCTGACGTTTCACACATGGCCAAATCGCATTCCATGAGATAGAGTGTAGTATTTCAAATATCGCCCAACCCATAGAATACCTGCCCCTTTGCTACATGCACCAATCAGGGAATTTATGGGATGGACTTGTAAGTAGGTGGGATTGCAGTTTGGCAAGGTGCCACCCACCTGGAGTTTCAACTATAAAACGCAAGGACCATGTTTTAGGGGTTGGGCTAGCCACATTTTACCATCAACGAAAAGACCATGCTGCAAGTCTTCTGGCTGGCCACATTCTACTACCCACCCCCCTCTTTCCTGCTTTAAAACTCTTTGTCTTTACCGGATCTCTTTGGGATGCGCAGCCAAAGAGATCCACTTACACGCACACACACGCACACTTGACCGGCTGGTTCTGGAACAGTGTGATGTAGGTAAAACTTCTAGACACTATTTTCTGTCCCTTTATTCTTCATTGCAACAGACAAGACTTCTAGAAACAGGCAAGTATGAGCCGATTCTCCTGCCTACCTCCAAGTTAATAAGAAACTATTTTATTTCTATTTCTGTAATTCGAAAGGAACCTTGAGTGTATGCGAATTGAGAGACTGATTGGTGGGAAGGTAACAGCGTTCCGTGCGCCTTGGTGTTTAGTCATGCCGGCCACATGACCACGGAAACGTCTTTGGACAGCGCTGGCTCTTTGGCTTTGAAACGGAGATGAGCACCGCAACCCTAGAGTCGGATTTGTCTGTCTTTCGAGCAAGGGAACCTTTACCTTTACCTTTTTATGAGCAAACTGGCCATTGATGGGATCTGGCTAGAGCTGAATGGGCTGCTCTTGCCACAGACTTGCCGGGCATGCATTGTTAGAGCTGGCTGTATGCTCAGTCAGATCTGTTGCCTTTGACAGACAGCTTTTCTTCAATCTCTTAGGCAGCAGTCTTTGCTCACTCCACAGCCTTCTGACCCTTTTAACCAAGGATTTTTTTCCTGGGAGTATAACTTTGCAGAGCATGGCTGTAATCCTCGCTTTGCCCCCCTGTCAAGCTAGTCAGCCGTGAGTCTCTGCATTTCCAGGATGCGGGGCCCAAAAGGTGGTATGTCTTCAGTCAGGCCTATTGTAGTCTATATTGTCCCTTACGTACATACATATTGTCCCTTAAGGCTGGCTGGTACCACACACCGAGCCTCTCACCATCTTACTGACTCTGTTTTGCTTTGCCCTTCATCTTCTGCAGTTTAGATAATTATTATGGTTGTACTGCCGACCCTGCCTTTGGGAACATGATCACTGATAATGACCACTACATCATGAGGACACGGGTTTCCGGGTAGACTGATGGCTTCTAGACTGCAGAAGGGCCATGAGAGATGGTGTGGTGCACTTCAAGGGCTCAAATCCTTCTGCTACTGCTGATGGTAGATCACCTTGTGGCAGATCCTTCCCAGAAGCCATGCAAAAACTCCCCCATCCAAGAAGTGGGAAGGAGAATGTTCAGCGGTTCCAATCAATGCTCCCTCTAAGCCGTGGAGTCTTGTGAGCAGAAATGGTACTTTGTGAGCTACTGGCATTAAAGTTGTGAGCGAGCTATTTGGCTACTGCATAAATTAGTTTGCTCTGGGGCCATCGTTCCTGAGCGAAGACAAAAATGTGTGAGCCAGAGGCTAAAAAACCGTGAGCTAGCTCACACTAACTCAGCTTAGAGGGAACACTGATTAGAATGGTTCATTAACATCGGTGCTGATGCAGCACATTGGTGGGATGAATCATATGCATTTTATTTCCTTGTTCAATGGGGCATTCTGTGAATCTTAGCAGCCAGTTTAAGGTTGAACAGCATTGGTTACTTGCTATGTGAGTCATTTTTTGTGGTGCTCAATGAAGCTTTTTTTTAAAAACAAACAAAAACAAAAAACCCCAGGATGGGTGGATTTATCAACAACCAAATGAAATATTTTAATAGAAATGGGGGAAATGTTCTGATCACATTTAAGTCCAACAGCTGGGAATTTAGGAGAATGTAAAATATGTGTTTCAAAAAAGATGTTATTGTTATGACAACAAAATTTGTATGCCACTTTTTGGCTTTGTAAAGGCTGCCCAGGTGGCTAACGGTTAAAATAATACACTATAATGTCTTTTATACGACATGTTTATAATAGTTCAGGCTGTGAAACTCAGACTTTCTGAAGTGGAAGTTAGTGTACTTTTCAGGTTCTAGTCACAAAGTAGGTTTCCCCATCGGTCTCCCTTCTGTCCTCCCAACGTGCCCGCGTGAGAGAGCCACAACTCATACTTTGAGAACCACTGATTTAAGGATTCTCTCTTATGGGGTACTATATTTTGTGTTGAACAAATAAAGAGAGTGAGCACAGGATCAGGTGAGGACTGTGTAAGGTAAATGCTGCGAAATGTTTGGCTGGCCCAGACAAGGTGTTAAAGGCTCGAAAAGCAGCTTGTCCTCCTTACTTTGTGTACGAGTGACGAGATTCGCCCATAATGGTTTCCCACTCCTCCGTTTCCGCAAGTAGAGCAAGGTCCCACCGAGAAGTAGGGCAGCAGCGGCCAGCACCAGAATTACTGTAACAGCTACAGCAGACCCTGCGGGGCGGGAGAGGAGAAAACATTGTGACTTCAGAGGGAGGCAACTCTCCTACATATTCTGGCACCTCCCTTTTGATGCTATCGTTAGAAATCTATGGGGCGGCCAAATGAGCAGAGGTCAGAATTTCGCTAGGCATCCTTTCCCATGGCATTGATTGAGGGATGACTCTTGTCCAGAATTTAGGGCGTATGGATTTCCCTCTTAATCTAAAGCCTGGGAGAAGAGGAGGAGGAGAAGAAGAGGAGGAAGAGGAAGAAGAGGAGAAGGAGGAGGAGACTGGATTTATACCCCGCCCTTCACTACCCGAAGGAGTCTCAGAGTGGCTTACAAACTCCTTTCCCTTCCCCTCCCCACAACAGACACCCTGTGAAGTAGGTGGGGCTAAGAACTGCTCTTTCAAGAATAGCTCTGACAGAACTATGGCTTGCCCAAGGGCATCCAGGAGCTGCAAGTGGAGGAGTGGGGAATCAACCCCGGTTCTCCCAGATTAGAGTCTGTGCGCACTTCACCACTACACCAAAGCAGACCAGCAGCCTGATCCAGTTTATACTAGTCTTTGTCATCCCCTCCCCCTTCCTCACTTCAGGCGGTACTCCAAAGTCCCATCACCCCTTGCCCGTATCTCCATTCCCATTGCGCTTCCTTGCCTTCTTGCTTAACTGCCCGGGCTGTACATGGCTGTTAAGCTCTGGGCTTGCTCCCCAAATGACTCCAGTGGGGTAGCCAAACAGAACTCATACGGGAATAAACGTCAGTCTTCAAGGTGGCTCTGGGCTTTTCGTTTAGTTTTGCTCCCCGAACCGTACATAGTCTCTAACATGAGCTGAGTCACGGAAGTACCTGTCTTTCCCTCGCACACGGCTCCTGCATATGCATCACAGAGACACTTATGGAGACCGGTGCCTTTCCCGTGGCATTGGTTGAGGGACGACTCTTGTCCAGTGCATTTCATCTCATCCACCAAAGCTGGTCCGAGAGTGGCACCATACTGATTGCCAACCAGCGCAGACACTGCTGCGCCACAGCCCAGTTGCCGGCAGACCACTGTGGCCTCTGTAAGGCTCCAGCCGGATTCACCAACGGAGGACCAAGAGCCATTATGCTCTACCTCCACCCGCCCAGCACAGGAATTGGGTCCGCCGGCCAATCGCACCTGGAAAAGACCTAGAAAACAAAGGGGAGAGGGTCACATGAGGTTCCCAGACCCCATCTTAACCACACTCACAATTCAAGCAGGAAATCACTAATCAGTTGACACTGGACTGGACCTTCCGTTAGTAGTACATCATAAAACAAATGTTTGGTTATATAAAGTCTGGAACTATTTTATATATGAAACTATTTCTATTTATAACACCACAGATCAAAATGAATGTGAACTACTTAATCCCACTGGGAAATGGTACCCCATTATTGACAAACTTACCTTTGAAAATTTTGAATGCAAAACCATCTATAACGCAAAATATAAACTGTTATTGCTTGGCTGAAACATTGTATGACTTTTAAAGCCTTTCTGTTTGTATAGTTTGATTCAAAGTTACATTTGAAAGTATTTGTCTTATGCATAGAAAACCTGTGATTTAGTGTTTGTACTATGGTGTACTTTAATGTTAAAACTAATAAAACAAATGCCTGTCAAGTGGGCAAAATCATCCTAATAAATGATGTGATGCTTTTCAAAGCATTTTATATAAATTATCTCAGGCATGGGAACCTGACGGTTGCCAGGGTATATCCTCTAGCTGAAGTTCCAGCACAGGCCTGCCAGGGTACAAATTCACACTGATTTACACCATTATTCTCGCTTTATTCTTTGAACACCAGTGAAATATTCCTCAAATTGGGTGGCTCTGAGCAGGTGTAGAGTGCCTCTCCTAACCGCTTAGAAAGATTCTCCCACACCCGTGAGATCAGAAGACTGGGCGTGAGGTGTGTTGGTCTGCGAGGATACTTGGTAAATGATCGGATGACAGAGCAGTGACTTACTTTCCTGCTAAATTGTCTAAATCAACCACCGTTCATTTGCAGACTCAAAGTGCTTTACCATTGAAAATCATGGCTAGGAGAGGTGATATAAAAGAAGCACAGGAGGAGGAGGGAAGCAAAAAAATTCAAGGTATCCGTCCCTTTGTCATGTTATATAATGCAACTGCCAGGGACTGGTTGGGGAGGAGAGGAACCAAATAAAAGTTGAAGCTGCCTTATAATGAATCAGAGCAGTGGTCCATCAAGGTCAGGATTGTCTACCCAGACTGACAACAGTTCTCCAGGATCTCAGGCTGAGGTCTTTCACGTCACTTATTAGCTGAACAAGTTGATATGTGGTGCGAAACAAACAGGAGCGCACTGGGCTGGTTGCACCTCTGATGCAGCCAAATGCAATGGTCACCAGTGGAGACAATTCCCACTGGATTCTGAGAGAAGCCATGACAATTTTCACATTACCCAGTTTCACCCGGTTTCAAGCCGGTAATCTTCCATTTTTAAGTGAACCGGTACAGGGCTGCCATTTCACACATGGCTTGCCCCTACCGGAAATGAGCCGGATCAGAAGCGATTTGGCAATTCAGACTTGCACCGCTTTGTTTTCCCGCCGTTTTCTTCCCGCGCGGGTGATCGATTTTTTTAAAAAGTTCGATTTATAGCATTATAGCAATATAACGCTATACCGGAACGCCAAACGATCGCAATAGCGATCCCATTGGAGTTTGAAGTTCCAGTATAGCGTTATAGCGATATAACGCTATAAAATATAACGATATAAATCGAACGTTAAAAAAAAAAAAAGCCCGTGCAGGCGAAAAACGGCGGGGAAAAAGCGTAACAGAACCGGGAGAGGGAACTGAAGACTACTCGGAAGCGGTTGACAGGTAAAACACTTCAGTCCCGGTTCCTAAACGGGACAGAAGCTTTTGTGTATGAAATAGCAGTTACATTCCGGTAGGGAACCGATTCTCAAACGGGTTCTGTCTGAAATATCTCCCGGTAGACAGAACAAACGGGTTCTGTCTACCGGGAGATATCGCCTGTCTGAAATTCCCCAATTCAACCCTTCTAAGTTTAGATTACATGGATGCCCTCTGAAGACCGCAGGTGAACTGGGTTGGTTGTTGGGTGAAGGGAATGCAATGCATATGCCTAAAACAAGTAAACTTGTTTTTACTGTGGCAAGTGTGCATTCATAAATTGGAGCGACCTGTAGTTCTGAAGGGTGCTCTCAAACCTGGGCCCCACAGTTTGCTCAAATAACATAAGATCAGTATTCTCTTGGGTGCCATTGCAGTGATTCAAACCCAAGCTATAGTGCTAGGTGCAGGGGTCATTTCGTAGAAAAAGAGCTAGGGGAACTCATTAGCATAACTCATTAGCATATGCCACACCTCCTGACATCATGGGCCCGGCAGTGGACCTGCAAGGCCAGCGGGAGTGCAAGGAAGCCCCGCCAAGGCCCTCCCTGGCCCCAGGCAGGCAGGGGTGGGGAGAGGCAGGGAGGAAGCAACTTACCCTCCCTCTTCTCCTGCCTCCTCCTGGCTGAATGAGGGCTGGAAGCGGGGCGGCCGGAAGCAGGGGGCGGGGCTTCGTCATGTGCCCCGCCCCCCTGCACCTTACCCGGGGGAACTGTGTTCCCCCGCGTTCCCCCCCGAAATGACCTCTGGCTAGATGTTCTTTAAAAAGCTTTTAATTTGGCTTGTGATCGCTGCATGTAACCTGCATGGCATGGGCAGGACCCAGCAAAGATAGGAGGATTTTGTAATACTCCAGTCCAACATCCAACTGGCAGACCAGAATGAGGGGTATACTAACCGTCATGGGATGGGGCAGGAGAAGACCGGTGGTATGTTTAAAAGAGGGGGCAGTTTCACAAAGTGTAAGAAATACCAGCTAGGATCATAGGTATGAGTTCCCTGTGTGCAAAATAGCCTTTGGCACAGCGCGTCCTTCCAAGATTAATAGTTTTCAATGAATCTCTAGCAGAAGAGCAAGCACGTTGCATGGTGGAGGCTATTTTGCATGTGTGAAACTCATTTGTAGAATCCAAACGACTGTGTTAATCTATTCGCTCTTTTCCTTAAGGTCTTGGTCATTAAACGCACATTTGTAGCACAACATTGGCTTAATTAAAAACAATTATTTGGAAATCGTATGTCAAGCGCTTATCTCATTGGGGGTTTTTTTAGATGGGAGAAAACAACAGGACTTATTAGTTTTCCTGTCTCCATTGTGTCATGGCTGTGCCCCCTCTCTGGTCCAGCTTTTGCAAGTGGGATGTCGTGCTGGCCTGGGACTGACACACCAATCAGTTGACCAGTCCCATACCACTTAACCATATTCAGATATTCCTTAAACCAAAGGATGCCCCTGTTTAGGTGTCAGCTTGCTTTGTCAGGTTTATTATTTCTATCTGTTAACAAGATTGGGAACGAGCTACCGCCCGCCCCCCCCCAAAACACTGCAGTAGTTAGGATAAACCCAGCTGCACTGAAAAGCTGCCTTTTCTGGCCATTTGCTATAACTAATTTATGTACTTCACTTATACTCCACTTTGTCCCCCAAAGGGGACCCAAAGCAGCTTATACTATTCCCCTCTCCTCCTAACAACCCTGTGTGGTGGGTTATGTCCAACGTCACCTAGCAGGCTTGTATGACAAACAGGGCCGGCTCACTCACTAGGCAAACTAGGCGATCGCCTAGAGCGGGCCGGCCCTTAGGGGCACCAAACTGCACCCGGCCCCGTACTCTGAGAGTTTCTTGATTATTTGTGTTTTTCATTCTTCCTAAAATGCACGTATTCGTGAAAATTGGTGGGCGTACCAGGGCCCTCCCAGAAGGGATCCCCGCCTAGGGTACAAAATAAGCTGGGGCTGGCCCTGAAGACAGAGTGGGGATTCCAGCTTACAATCTCTTTATCCCTCCCCACAACAGACACCCTGTAAGCAATGTTCCCTCTAAGCTGTGGAGTCTTGTAAAGCAAAAATTCTTCTTTGTGAGCTGCTGGCATTAAAGTTGTGAGTGAGCAATTTGGCTGCTGCATAAATTAGTTTGCTCTGGAGCCCTCCTTCCTGAGCTGAGCCAAAAATGTGTGAGCCGGAGGCTAAAAAAAAGCACTAACTCAGCTTAGAGGGAACACTGAGCCCGGGTCTCCTAGATCCTAGTCCCGCCCTTTAAGCATTACCCCTTGTGGCCCCTACAGGCCTCTCTGCTCTTCTCCTTAAAGTTGCAAATTCCCTATAGTGCTCTCCACGTTTTTTTTTAAAGCAGGTTTCATTGCAGGCGACATCTAATGTGCAAATTGCGCCTTACAAAAAAGGTTACCTGAGCATACGACACTCGCGTCCTCTAAATGATTACAATTGTGTTCTCCCATGGACTGTCCTTTGCAGTCTTTGAGGGATTCTTCCAACCCCGTGCAGTTCACATCGTCCAGCCAGATGGGACCAGACCCTTCTCCAAAGCGTGCTGAATGCGGGGCTTCCAAAGCAAAGCCGCAGCCTATTTGCTTGCATACAACGGTGGCATCCTCCAGGTCCCATCCATCGTCACACACGGTTCCCCACTGCTGCTGGGACAAGACCTCGACTCTTCCAGCACAAGCGTTCAGATGATTATTTATCAGTCGGATGTCACCCACTGTTATGTAGGACGATTCTGCAAAGAGCCCAGTATGAGCGTTATTTGGTAAAAAGTAATTCTGAACTGGAGGCATTCCTATCCCCTATGGCTATGAACATGGGGAAAGGTGAGCTATGTCTGGCTAAGAGACTGTCAGCAATAGCTGCTAGCTTTCGAATGTAGGCAAGAAGGAAATTTCGACCTCTCTCAGATCTTGGAGATCAAATTGAACCAGGGAGCGAGGAAAGCGTAATGCTGCAAAGCAAGGAAAGCATAAAGCTTCGTTTACACGAAGGGAGGTAACATCTTGCAGATGAATTACCAGTAGAATTGTTTAGGAAGGCTCGTTGTAGGTGAAGTTATCAGATAAAAGGCAAATTTTGGTGTGTCTGTCTTTAACATTTCAATGAGGATAGGAAAGGAACACAGGCAACTTTGCAACATTGCATCCCAGTGTTACATGCTTCATTAACAGGAATGTCTCCCCCTCCCCTTTTAATGCCTGTTGTCTTTTCACGTCATCTCCGTTATAACTGTATATATGGCTTGGCTGGGCAGCTGATGGAAATCAGGAGGCTCTAGATTACATCTCCTGAAATGAAAGGGGTACCTCCAAGGAAATAAATTGGCAAGTTGGATTTCTGCAGGGGTAAGAAAGAAGTCTGATAAATGGCCAATATTAAAAATCTAGTGTAAACGTATAATATACAAAGCTATATGTATTTATTAGAAAGACAGTTAGAAACAAGCAAGGGCCCAATGAAAGCCTCGTTGCAAAGTGCAAGTGGCCAGAACACAAGGGCCAATACAAGTGACCTGATGCATTTCCGCCCCTTAGAAGCCTTCTTCAGAGGTCAAACGGTTTGAGGTACACATGTTACAATATTACGTATTACAATAAGATAACCAATAAGTTAATACTGGACCAAAAAAGGAAAGTTAAGCAGCAAGATCAACAGACACAAGACAAGGATGTCTATGAGGCCGCGAAAGATGAGAGTCATGTGTCTGGTGCCAAATGCACAGCTGCTGAATTAGAACATCTTCCACTTTTGGTCCAGAAAGCACTTAAAGGTCAAATCTGCATTTGTCTTTCCCACCGGTGTCCCAGCCTTCTGACTCTGTCTTCAAAAAAGCTGTCTACATCTGGTTTCGTTTTTACACCTCAACAGAGCTAGCATACTGTTGCATGTCTGCATATGTTTATCGTCCTCTCGTGGCTCCACTGTCATTGCGCCTCCACACTGGTTTAAATGAATCTTCTCCAAAGAACGCTCAAAGAAGCATAGAGAAAGATGGCGTCACAGCAGGACGAAACTGATTTAAAAATGCAAACGCAGATTCAACCACTAGTCAGAGCTAGAGTGTCCTCAAACATATAGCAATCTGCAGGCCTTATCCAAACAAGATGTTTACGTAGCTGAGGCACAGTCACCTACTTTGTCTTTAGGGCTGAACCAGCCCAGAAGACCAGCTGCAAGTCTGCACGCAGTGCTGCCATTTATCCCAATTGTCCAAATTCTATGCATACACCCTGGTGCCTGCCTGGGCCATTAAGCTGGTTGGATTCCCAACTTTCCTTAAAAACAAACAGTATATATCTAACTCTTGTGGATCTGGATGTAGGAGTCAAGTCGTGCTGGCAGTCTTCTACTCAGTTGGGTAGTGAGAAACAAGCCAGCTCTCACTTTCCTTTGTTTCAGTCAGTGTGAGAAGTCAACATCTACAATTGACACATTTGCTACATCTTTTCTTGATGAGAAGAAAGCATGAGCAAACTGGTAAAATGGTAGTTCCTGCAATCCTTCCCCAACTTCTCGTACTTGTCAGTATCGGACACCCAGGCATTGACCAACCGTGGAACAATAAATAAGCTTTATCGACATATTTAGCAAACAGTTGCACAATTTGCAGATTTGGTTGCCTAGGTGTGGGACACTGGAATATGTTCAGTATAGATAGCATGTCTGCTTGTCTGTACAAGCTGTCTAGCCCATGGCATGAAGCCCCTAGGCTAAAGTACATCATCCCTATTATTCCGCAGCGTGGTGGACCCTCCAATCTGGATCTGGTCAAATTTTTACTCTTGGACCTTGACCACTATGTCTCTAGCAGAATGGCGTTATTTGCCTTAGCAACAAGGAAAATCAGAATGAGTTTAGTATTTAATGCAAAGTAGAAGGAGTATAGGAGTATACTGATATTTTTTAAATTGTTTGTATTACTATTTTATAGTCTCTGATGTATTATGTTACGGCCTGTGGCTAAGACAATAAACTTATACTTACAAGCTGTCTAGGTTTTCTGTGTTACATAATAACATAAGAACATAAGAGACGCCAATGTTGGATCAGGCCAAAGGCCCATCCAGTCCAACACTCTGTGTCACACAGTGGCCAGAAATACCAGGTGCCATCAGGAGGTCCACCAGTGGGGCCAGGACATTAGAAGCCCTCCCACTGTTGACCCCCCCCAAGCACCAAGAAGACAGAACATCACTTGCCCCAGAGTCCCTATTTATACCTTGTGGCTAATAGCCACTGAGGGACCTCTGCTCCATATGCTTATCTAATTCCCTTATGAAGCCATCCATGCTTGTAGCCGCTACCACTTCCTGTGGCAGTGAATTCCATGTGTTAATCACTCTTTGGGTGAAGAAGTACTTCGTTTTATCCGTTCTAACCCAACCGCTCAGCAATTTCATGGAGTGCCCACAAGTTCTTGTATTGTGAGAAAGGGAGAAAAGTACCTCTTTCTCTACCTGCTCTTTTCCATGCATAATCTTATAAACCTCAATCATGTCACCCCTCAGTCGTCGTTTCTCCAAGCTAAAGAGTCCTAAGCGCTTTAACCTTTCCTCATAGGGAAAGTGTTCCAACCCTTTTATCATTCGAGTTGCCCTTTTCTGCACTTTTTCCAAAGCTATAATATCCTTTTTAAGATGTGGTGACCAGAACTGCACACAGTATTCCAAATGTGTTCTTAACTCCAGACTGCCATGCCTCTCAGTCTGAACTCGGAGGCAAAGAAAGCATTTGGATGCAAGGCAGACGTGTGTGGAGGGAGGGAGGAGTGCTTTGGACCTCCTGCTTCCCCATGTCACAAAAGGATTTTCCGATCCTCTCACCCCCTCCCTTGGTACATTATACCTTAGCCCCATTTTGCAACAATGCCATTGCCGTTGCCCATTACCTGAACAAACAACTGCTGCATCTTGTCCGTGATGACAGTTATTGTTCCCCTGCGTATTTGCACCGCATTCTGAGATAGCATCTTCTGTGCCTCTGCAGTTTATGTCATCCATCCAGATGGAACCTGATCCTTGTCCAAAATGAGCCCCACTTAGGGCGGCTTTGGCCTTTCCACATCCCAGCTGCCTACACACAACTTCGGCATCATTTATGTCCCAGGTACGGTCACAGACGGTTCCCCACTGCTCGCTGTGGGCGGGGCGAATCTCAACTCTCCCACTGCAGCGGCTTGAGCCATTGACCAATCTGAGATCATCTGTGAATAAAGCAGTAAAAGGATTACTCTCGTAGAGAACACGTCCAGATGGCCCTCAACATTTCAGGGATTCCCTGTTCTGCCATTCAAAGGCAAAACGATTCAAAACCACTGGTCTTCCACTGATCCTCAAAGCTGGCAAAGACCTCCGAGGGGATGAACGTGTTAAGTTCCGCAGATTATGGGGTGCACAAGCAACAGCCTACCGGTGGGCCTTTCTGTCTTTGGCCTTTGCTACATTTTATTTATTTATTAATTAAAACATTTATACACCACTTTTTTTTTTCTTGGCTCAAGGCAGCTTACAATAAGAGTTAAAATATGTCCCGCTAAAACCAAAAGAAAACATAACAAGCCCCAAATTCCCTCCCTTTAAAAGATGCCTGCAATTCAAAGGCCCTGGCAAACAGGCAGACCTTGTGGAGCCTCCTGAAGGTCTCTGATGTGGGGGCCCCTCTCACCTCTTCAGGGAGCCCATTCTAGAAAGCTGGAGTCACAATGGAAAAGGCCTGGGCTCTGGTCGATGTCAGATGGGCCATTCTAAGTGGCCTCCTGATGACCATAGTTGGCGCATAGGGACATATGGGGGGAGGTAAAAAGGTAAAGTTTTCCCTTGCTCAAAATCCAGTTGGATCCGACCCTAGGGACTTGGGAGCAGTGCTCGTTTCCATTTCCAAGCCAAAGAGCCAGCGCTGTCTGAAGACTTTTTCTATGGTCACGTGGCCAGTATGACTAAATGCCAGAACACTGTTACCTTCCCACCAAAGCGGTGCCTATTTATCTACTTTCAGTTTCTTGCTTTCGAACTGCTAGGTGGGCAGGAGCTGGGGCCAGAGACGGGAGCTCACTCCATCACGCAGCACTTGGGTCTTGAACTGCCAAGCTACCGACCTTCCGGTCTGCAGCTCAGCATCTTAACCTCTGAGCCACCGTGGCCCCTTGTATGGGAGGATACTGTCCTTCAAATATGGAGGACAGACTGCACTATTGTCATGACCACCCAAGTCCTGTTTACTTGCTGTGTTCTTTTGCAGCTTTTGCTGAATGGAGGCATGAAAAGTGAAGACTGGGTAATAGGCCAGACTATATGCTTGCATTAGAAGAGGCGAAGGTGTTACAAGGACAATGTAGGGCAGAGGTCAGTGATTAAAAAAATGAAAATCAGAAATACTTGAGAAGAATGCTTACATCAGGAATGACGCATTCTAGTATCTATTTCTAGTGTAGAAGATCACATACAAATAGGCTCACCTGAACATCCAGATCACATACAAATAGGCTTACCTGAACATGTAACGCTAGCATCTTCCCCATGGCCACAGTCATTGGCTCCCCAAGGCTTTGCTTTGCATTCAGTCAGGGCAGACTCTGTTCCAGTACATTCTAAATCATCCATCCAGATAGGATCTTCTCCCATCCCAAACCGAGCTCCGTGTGGGGCACCTATGGCAGTTCCGCAGTCAAGATTCCTGCATACAACTATGGCTTCATTAATGTCCCAGCTGTCATCACATATGGTTCCATATTGTTGCAAGTGTAACACTTCCACCCTTCCGGAGCACCGACTTGAACCATTGACCAGCCTCATCTCTGCCGGGTCTAAAATGGGGAAAAAAGATGCTGTAGAAACATCCCAGGGCACCGGACACTGAAAAAAGACTTTCAAGAAATGAGCTAAGGAGTTCTTTTCGTTCTCTATTCTAGCTACTGTGATAAATGGCAAGCCCAGGTCGCTTTGGGTTGGCGAGCAGATCAAGCAGGGGTGAAGTCCCTAGGGTGCAAATAATGGGAAGGGGTCATTTTTAGGGGAGAACCAGGAGGAGGTATTTAACCTTTCAGAAAACCATCAAGTATTCTCTGCAAATTCCCTCCAAGGACATTTGCCCTTCCTGTCACCACCTGGTGATCTTTTGGTCTCAGAGCCTGGCTAGAGGGAAATAGTGGATAAACATTTGGAAGAGCCATTTGCAGAGGAGAATCAGTGGCAATAGGAAGGATTAAGCAAACACGTCTTAGGGAAAAGATGTATTTGGCATGAACGTGTAGTTGTATCCTCAAATTGAAGATGATGATGCAGCCGGATATCCCTCATATCCATCCTGAAATTGGTGTCCCTGCTCTTCCAAGGTTGGATCAAAGGGCCTTTTCATGAGAATCTCCTTTCAGCAGCAAAACATTTAACATTGCAGCAATTAACTTGGACATTATCCACACAATGCATCTGGTGGAGTCACCTTTTCTGGTTGCAGAAAAGTTGATTCTTTTTAAAAGAAAAATGTCACTTCCCCCACAATGTCCTTATGATGACATCAGGCAGGTGTAGGAAGGAGGAATAGATGAAGGGTGATTCTGCATTGGCTTTTCCCTCCATTGTTTTACTAAAGGTGCAGCTCAAAACCACATTCAAATACCCTGGGGCAATGCCGTACTGACTGCAAAGTCACCCCTGAATGGCCATAAATCTATGCAGAAGGATCCGTAAAACCTGATAATCGAAGAAAGTGAAAGCGGCATACAATGCAGAGGGGAATTTCTGTTTCAACTGGGTTTGGTAAAACAACGGAGGGAAAAGCCAATGCAGAATCGCCCGAAGTTGTCCCCAGACAGGTTCAGTGTGCAGATTTGTTAGGTATTCTTGTAGTAAAGGTAAAGGTTCCCTTGCTCGAAAGCCAGTCGAATCCGACTCTAGGGTTGCGGTGCTCATCTCCATTTCAAAGCCGAAGAGCCAGCGCTGTCCGAAGACGTTTCCGTGGTCATGTGGCCGGCATGACTAAACACCAAGGTGCACAGAACGCTGTTACCTTCCCACCAAAGTGGTACCTATTTATCTACTTGCAATGTCTTGCTTTCGAACTGCTAGGTTGGCAGGAGCTGGAACTAGAGACGGGAGCTCACTCCGTCATGCGGCACTCGGGTCTCGAACTGCTGAACTACTGCCCTTCCACAGCCTGCAGTTCAGCGTCTTAACCACTTGAGCCACCGCAGCTCCTATTCTTGTAGTAGAGATGTGCAAAATAAATAATGCAGCCAAATGCATGTGTATTAGTTTAAAAAGAAAACTGTGCTTACCTAGTGAGGGAAGGGTTACTCAGAAATACTACAAACAAAGGATTTTCCATCCTCTCTGACTGCACTAACCTATATGTTGACTCTCTAAAGTCTAAAAACATGTGCAAGCCCAGGGCAAGAGTCAAGACAAAGAGCAATAAGCTTTCTAAGCCTCCACCCCGGGACATCTTTTGATCTATTGATTACCCTACTGGAGAATCCCAAACCTAGGCCACGATCACATGCAGAGTTTGCCGCGGGAGAGACACAAATGCCGGGTGGATTTTTAGGGTGCGATCACACCGCAACATCTGGCAAGCGTGGCACACCAGTGGCCAACCCATAGCGTCCAGCTGCAGATGCACAGTTAAAAAGTACCTGCCAAACTCCACTAGCAAATGGTTTGCCACAGGCCGCAGGCGGACTCGATCCGTGTGATTGCGCCGGCGCACACCTATTCCCTCCAGCCGTCCCCATGGAAGTGCGCTGGAAGCACGCGACAACAGACAAAACCCCGGTGTGCTGCCATCACGTCTGACTGCATAATAGCAGGTCAAAATGCGACGGCACAAATAGCCACGCCTCCCCCTGCGTTTTCCAGCACGTGTGACCGGGACCCTAATTAATTATGAATTTTATCACCTTGCTGGGGCGGCAAATACATGCAGGCTCTGACATTGGGTCTCTAACTAAACTAGCTAGGAGATCAGCATGCATAAACAAACATGCAAATTCTTCCATGACTTCAGGGAGAGAACTTGCAAACTCCAACAAAAGTTCACTCACTGCAGAGAAAGAAGATCAGCCTCCATGCCTCAGAAATAAGATTAAAAGGTATTGTTTTTGGATGGAGAAGGAATACAGAGTATGGATTACCTGCGCACACAACACCAGCATCTTCTCCATGGTGACAGTTATTGAGGCCCCAGTTGCTCGATGTGCATTCACTGAAAAAAGCTTCTGTTCCAACACAGTTGACATCATCCTTCCAGATGGGCCCTGATCCGGGTCCGAAAAAGGCATTTGTAGGTGCTTTCAATGCAACCCCACAGTTCATCTCCCTGCAAATGACTTCAGCCTGCTTCATGCCCCAGCGGTCATCACAGACGGTCCCCCACTGCTGGTTGTGGAATATCTCAACTCTCCCAGAGCAGTGACTTGATCCGTTCACCAGTCTGAGTTCTAAAGGGAAGGGAAGGTAGAAAAAGTAGAGAAAGGTTGAAGAATGCAACATACCAGGGAAATAAATGGCTGGCAAGAGTTTTGAATGTGTTGGTTCTGTGGCTAAGGAGACCAGACCACTTCTCTCTAAGGGTATGTATGGCTGCGGTCACACGGAGCATTAGGCACGCTAGAGGGTGGAAGATAGGCGGATTTTCCTGGCACGATCTCACCGCTACATCTGGGAAGCGTCGAGCTTCCATGGCGAACCCGAAGCTTCCCACGAAAGATACGCGGTAAAAAACTAGTACCTCGGAGGTACTAGTTTCCTAAAACTGCGGGGCAAGGGCGGGCGTCTGATTGCGTTTCCGGTGGTAGTTCCGGCACCCGCCCATGTCCGCAAAAAGTCCCCCCCCCAAAGTCTCCACGGATGCGCACAAGCACCCAAGGGAGCATGCGCTCATTTGAGTTTTAAAAAAACTCCAACCCCGTTTGCCCCACATCCCGCTTCTTTGCCGTGCCGCAGGACTGTGGAGTGATCGGCACCTCCCCCCTACCACGGGACCTCCGTGGCAAACAGCCACGCTTCCCCCCCGCATTTTCCTGCCCGTGTGCCCGCAGCCTATGTAGACTTTTTAAAGAGCAGATGAACAAGCCTTTCCTTTCGGAACATTCTGCCGCCTTTTGTGTGTGTGTGGATGAACAGTTTTCAGAACACAGTGGCGATTTGAAAATAATGAACCCAGCACAAATGCAGCAGTCGGGCTCCTTATTCCATGAACGGATCATTTGCTTTAAAAGCTTTATCCAAAATCGGAGGACATGATCCATGGGGTAGATAAAGCTAGGCTGGCTGGTGGGTGGGAAGGACAGAAGGAAACAGGAAAAAGGGAGAGGCTGCCAGGGAAGGAAAAGAGGAAATAGTGGGAGATAACAGGGGGAAATGACATGCTCCCCACATGTCCTTGCAGGCCCCCCATTTGTCAGACTTTCCCCCCTTGACTCCCTGGCTCCCTGTACCCAGGAAAACTGTGGCCCAGTTGTGCAGTGCAGTGCTGACCACTGGCCTTGGCTCAGTTGTGTAGTGTGGGAAAATGCATGTTGTGGGGGGCATTTCCCTCCCCTTGGCAACTATGACCAAGGTCTGTGGTGGCCCCGGTGTGGGTAGGTGGGTGGGACAGTGGGGAACCTGCAAGGACTGGTGTGGTGGCCACTGGCAGGTACCTCACTTTCCCCTGTATCCTCCTGACCACACTATGGCTCCGGTCGCACGGGCAGGAAAATGCGGGGGGGGGGGGGCGTGGCTGTGTGCCCCCGGGCAAACAAACGCGCGGTTAAGCAATCAGACCTCCCGTGGAGGTCCTGTGGAGGTACCGTGGAGGTTCTGTGGGTAGGGAGAGGTGCCGATCACAGGACTAGCCTGCACGCAACGAAGAAGCATGCGGTGCAGCAAACTGGTGTTTTTTACGAATGTGCATGCTCCGTTGGGTGCGTGTGCACATCCACGGAGACTTGGGGGGAAAAAACCCCTTTGTCGCAAGGGAACATGGGCGGGCGCCGAATGCCACCGGAAACGCAATCAGACGCCCGCCCTTGCCCCACAGTTTCCGGAAACTAGTACCTCTGAGGTACTAGTTTTTTGCAGCGCGTTTTTGCCGGGAAGCCTCGGTTGTGCCACGGGAGCTCTACGCTTCCCAGATGTGCCGGTGAGATCGTGCCCGGAAAATCCGCCTGTCTTCCGTCTCTCTTCCGTGGCTTATGTTCCGTGCGACCGCAGCCTATTTCCTCTTTCTTCCCTCCCGGCAGCACCTGCATTCTTACCTTTCTTTACTGGTTCTTTCCCTGCCACTCACCAATCAATCTATCTTTTTGTCTTTCCGCTATATTTATAATTTATTTACTGTATTTATCCTCTGCTTTTCTCTACAGTGAGGATTCACAGTGACTCACATCACTCTTCTCCATTTTATCCTTACAACAGCCCTCGGCAGAGAGGATGTGACTAGCCCAAGGTCACCTAGTGAGCTTCCCACAGCAGAACGGGGATTTAAACCAGGAATTCCTAGTCTGAAACTCTATCCACTACACCACCCTACCTTTTGTTTGGTGGCTGCTGTTGAATATCAGTAAACAGCAGCCAGGCTACTAGAAATTGCTGATGGGCCTGGCCACAACAGTCCTGGGAAGGGCCCTGCTTTTATACTGACAGAAACCAAGGCTTGAAAGCTGGTGATAGTGTTGTGGTTGCTAAGAAACTCTCACAGCAGTCACTGACAGAGCATTTGTTTTTTTAAAAATATATAGGTACTGTGACTATTATTGTGGAGGGTAGGTTCCACAAACCTGGACATTATTCAAGTTTGTAGAAAGATCTGTCTTGTTTGTTAACATTTAAGTATCCAAAGATTTAGCCATTTTGATAGTTAAATAGGTAAGATGAGTGGAGCATTTTGTGTACGGTGTCCTTTTCCAAAGGCCTGTATTGGTGGCCACAAGGTGTTCAGTCTGGCTCCAACAAAGACACTCCCCTTATACACATCCATGGTTCTCACTTTAGCCAAGACACAAATTAATTTTTAAAGCTCTCCTTCCTCCCCCCCAAAGTGCAAGGGCGATATAGTATTTTGCCTAACTGAGAACATTGCCAATCTGCTGCACTTTCCTAAATGTGAGCAAGACCCAGCTAAATAAAAGTGAGCCACTGGGGTATAGTGGTTAAAAGCAGCGGATTCTAATCTGGAGAACTGGGTTTGATCCCCTATTCCTCCACATGCAGCCAGCTGGGTGACCTTGGGTCAGTCACAGTTCTCTCAGAGCTGTTCTCTCAAGATCAGTCCTCGCAAGAGCTCTCTCAGCCCCACCTACCTCACAGGATGTCTGTTGTGGGGAGGGAAAGGGAAGGAGATTGTAAACCGCTCTGAGACTCTGAGTGGAAGGTGGGGTATAATCCAATCTTCTTCTTAAAAACAGAATTCTGTAAGAGTTTGTGTTGCTTTGCACACCTGTGTAGAAGGGATTAATGAAATGGCAATCCTAATTGGGCCTGTGGGACCTGCAGGACCTTAAACAGAACACAGGCTGTTCCTGCAATATTTCTTGTTGCATTTCTGTCACTTAATGATACACTGGAGACTGAACTTCCTCTTCATTCTATGGTTACCTGCAGCAAAGCTCTTGAAAAAGCTGCTGTTGACAAACAGACATGGTCACTGGCATTGTAACCGGTAACCAACCATCACAGTTCAGGGTCCGCTGGCACAGGGGATTTATCCTCTGGTTAAACATCTGAGCTGAACAGGACTGCTGTCAGTTCGAACCCCGCACTTGGTGTGAGCTACCAAGTCTTGTTCCCAGCTCGCCGTCCACCCAGCGGTTCGAAAGCTTCGGTGAGTAGATAAAATTGGTACCACTCCTTAGAGAGAGCGGGCACACTAAACCCCCCTATGGGTGAGGTGTTAAGCCGACAAACGGAAAGTTCCGTGCGTAACATCATAAGCCTACGCAGCCTGCAATGGGACATTCCGGCCATTCCAGCCAGACGGTGGCAGTGGTGTGCTGCGACCGAGAAAAATGCTGATGACATCAAGAGCGACGTTGAGAGAGAAGAGAGAGACAGAGAGAAAGGCAAGTTGCCGGGGACACGCCTGATGATCACCACAGACCTAAACTCCCTGTCGACTATGAAGTGTGTGCAATTTAAATGATATATGTTTGTCCTCCCTTACCCCCCTCATTGTTAGTCCCGTGTCGACAAAGAGTAACTGTACATCGCTCAGAGCCGGCAGCTCTGCAAGGATTGAGCGATTAATAAATTGAAAGATTATTATTATCCGCCCACCCATTACCTGAGCACACCACACCAGCATCTTCTCCATGGTTGCAGTTATGTTCTCCCCAAGCCTTCCGGCGGCAGTCCCTGAGGGCAGCTTCTGTCCCTTTGCATTTGACATCGTCCAGCCAGATGTGATCCGCTCCCTCTCCAAACTGAGCACCACGTGCGGCTGACAGGGCAACTCCACAGTCAAGTTCCCTGCAGACCACTTGGGCGTTTTGTATACTCCAGTCATCATCACACACAGTTCCCCACTGCTGGTTGTGGAGGACCTCAAGTCTCCCAGAGCATCGGTTCGAACCATTCACCAATCTGATCTCGTTTGGGTCTGGAATGGATGAAGGAATTGTTAGTTCTCCGTGCACGCCCGCAGCTCCTCCTCCTCTCTTGCTTTCATTCCCAATGGCATGAGTTTAATGGCGCTGTTTGGCTAGGTTGGTTTTAAGTGGATCTTTTTTTCCATTTTGCATATTTCGTTTTGGAATTTACATTTAGTTAGTTAGTTAGTTAGTTAG